TATGAGTGCTAACATTTAATAACTACTTTAAACACTTATTAGAAAAATGCATAAAACTAACATATTTAACACATAAGTTACAGTTGTTGTTCTTATTGTTAAATGCCGTGGAGTTAATTCCAACACATAGCAACCCTGAATAGGGTTTCAAGGAGCGGCTGGCGTGTTTGAACCACCTATCTGTGGTTAGCAGTCCGTGCTCATCCTACAGCGCCACACCAGGACTTAGGTTCTGCTGTATAGCAGTGGCCTAAATAAGATTGTTGTTAAGTACTGTCGAGTTGGTTCCAATTCATAGCTTCCCTATATAGGGATTCCAACGAGCTGGTGGGTTTGAACTGCCAACCTTGTGGTTCGCAGTCCAGTGCTGATCCTATAGCACCACTTTTTCTGTCATTTAAACTAGGCCACAAGGAGGCATTGTGGCTCTGTGGGCTCGGTGTTTTAGACTGCTAACCTGTTATGACTGTAGATCAGTCCTGGTGTGGGGCTGTGGATTAATGCACTGGACCGCAAGGTCAGTTTGAACCACAAGGCTGGCCGTTCAGGCTCATCAGTCACTCCTTGGAAACTCTGTACAGAGTTGCTAAGATTCGGAGCAGACTCAACAGAACTTAACAACAACAATCTGATGTTGTGCTGTAGATCAGCACTAACTGCAAACCACAAGGTCCATGGTTGAAACCTACCAGTTGTGCCTCAGAAACCCTATACAGGGTTGCTTAGGCAATTGTATGATTGTGAGAGAGCTAGGCATCTTCCATTTTTCTGCTTGGCTATCCTTAGTACCTGGTTTTCATCCTCAGTGTCTCCCTATGTTAAATGAGTTTACTCTTAAACCTATATTCTAATATAGTGACAGGAAGGAGAAAAGAAGGCGAAAAATAGGCCTTCCCATAAATGAATTTTTTTGATAGCACATAGCTGTTTTCAAAAATTTAATCAATATATAGTGCCTGTCAACTTGATACCAACTCATGGCAACCCATAGGTGTCAGTACAACTGTGTTACATAAGACCTTTAGTGGCTGATTTTTCAGGAGTAAAAGACTAGCCACCTCTTGATGAATTCAAAGCTCCAGCCTTTCAGTTAGCAACATTAACCTTTTTCACTACCCAGGAACTCCTCCCAAAACATAGATGTCCTGTAAGTATTGAAGAAGGGGAGACCATGTACTGAGTAGGGATTTATATGGATAATAAAGGGGTTTACCAATAATCTGCATGGTTGGTAAACTCCTTTATTTAAGATGAAACTGTTAGTCAATTAATGAAAAATGTTGAGCAAAAAAATAATGTGGAAAGTATACAGTAAAGTAAATTTTAGGAAGATGGTATTTTTAATGACTGATGGATGAAGATTAGGAAAAACTGCTCTTATGTATGGTAATTAAAGGTAAACTACAATGCCTTTAGAACGGTCGCGCTAATGGAGGGGGCAGCGGCTGAACGATGTGCGAGAACTGCGCAGACCTGGTGGAGGTGTTAAATGAAACCCAGACCAAGGAGTGGTGGGGTGAGAGATGTCTGGAGACCAGGTCAATGGGGGACACTGCCTAGCGGGAAGAGACTGCAGCGGCCAGCCAGGCTGTCCTACTTACTCCACGAGGGCACCATCCCAGCCTAGCCATTGGATCCTGGCTTTGAGCGTCTCATTACAACCCTGTCGCCCCTACTGCACTTCCACCTCTTCACTGATGCGACATCCGAGGACGGAAATCTCACCTTTGAGCCGGACTTAAGGGCCTTAGCGCATGGAGATTCGTGTTTAACAGCGACCACACAACTGCCATTCGTCTGTCGTGCAGTGGTGGTTTGAATTGCTGTGATTCTGAGGGCTATGCCACCGGTATTTTAAATAACCAGCAGGGTCACCCATGGTGGACAGGTTTCAGATGAGCTTCCAAACAAAGACAGA